TCAGCTGGGTCCATCCTGATCTGATTGTAGCCCGAATAGGCGTCCAGGAAGCTCAGCAACTCGTGCCCCGAGGTCGCATCCAATAAACGGTCGATCCTGGGAAGTGGGAAGCAGTCCTTTGGGAAAACTCGGTTTAGGTTGGTGTAGTCGACGCACATGCGCCATTTACCGTTGGCCTTTTTCACCAGAACGGGGTTGGCCACCCAACTCGGGTAATGAACATCTCTGATAAAATCGACTGCAAGGAGTTTCCTGACCTCCTCGTCGACTGCCCTCCATCGCTTAGGGGCTAAGTTGCGTTTCTTCTGTCTAACGGGCCTAATTACCGGATCAATGTTGGGGTCTATGTCAGGCATTTCTGTCGCTGACCATGCAAAAACATCTAAATTTTCGAGTAAGAAACTTACCAGTTGAGACCGCAGGGGCTCCTCAATAGAAGCACCGATCTGAAGTACCCGAGCTGTTGCCGAAGCCAGGACGGGAATGGTCTCTTCGGTAGGTGTGGCTCGCTCTGCGAACTGCTCCACAGGTTGTTCTAGCTCGAGGTCGTCTGCTACCTTGGCCTTTCCTTTGAGGGCGGCTACGTAGCACTTGTGGGATTCGAGCTGATCACCTCGCGTCACCCCGATTCCAAAGTCTGTAGGGAACTTCATCGCCAGGTGGTAGGTGGAGACTACTGCTCGTAGGGCATGGGTAATGGGCCGACCTACTATTGCGTTGTACAGGGAGGGGGTCGCGAACACTAGGAACTCGTGGTTGAGCCTTACCATGCTAGGCCAGGTGCCGACCTCTACTGGTACAGTGACTCTCCCCAAAGGCATGACCTCCTCACCGCTGAATCCCACAAGCGGAGTGTTTGCGGGCTTCAGGTCGCTTTCCTAGAGCTGTAGCTGATCGAAGGCCGTCTTGAAGAGAATATCTTCTGAGCTGCCCAAATCGACTAGGACACGCCTGACCTCGAAGTCATTGATCTTGATCTTTATGACGAGCGCGTCATCATGGGGATAATGGACCCCTCGTGCATCGTCCTCAGTGAAGAAGATTGGTTCCTCCATCCTTGGCCGCTTTGGGGGGCTTAAGCTCTTCCCTGGCGGCCTCACGAGCTGATGACCGAGCTACTGCCGAAGTGCAGCCCGCAATAATTGATCCCCCGACAAAGACATGGATGGTCCCCCGAACTGGTCTCTCGTCGGGAGGTTGCCTCTGCAGTTGTTCTGCTTGTTTGCTGGACTCGGGAGCTTCTTTACCCTGCTCCCTGTGCCTACCTGCTTTATTATTATTATTATTATGCTGTACAAAATTTCTCAGATATCCGCAACGGATGAGTTCTTCTATCTCGTCGCGGAGATTCTTACAATTTTCGGTACTATGACCGTGATCTCTATGGAAACTACAATACAAGTTTTTATTCCTAACATTGGGATCGACCTTAAGCCGAGGTGACTACTTCACATATGGGGCGTCCTTGATTGCCATGAGGATCTCGGCTCGCTTTGTGTTGAGGGGCATATAATCCCTTTCTGCTGTCGGAGCTCGGAAAGGTTGCATTGGCTTTGCTCCCCGAGCTAGGTCCTTCTTCTTCTTACTGTCATTGGGGGCTGGGGGCTCTGGTTTCCTTTTTCTGTCCCTATGAACCGATCTGCCAGTTCAAGGAACTCGGTCACGGTCTTGGGTTGGTTGACCACCACGTGCCATTTGAACTCCTTGTGGGCAATGCCCCGCTTGGCCATAGTGAGCCGAACTACATGGTCTAGGTCGGGTATCTGCAAGCAAGCGTCATTAAACCGCTTGATGTAGTTCCGAATGGACTTTCTTTCCCTCTGGACTATGCTGAGGAAGCTTTCTTGGGTCCTCAGGCACCTCTTACTAGTGACGAAGTGGGAGGTGAAGACCTGCACGAATTGCGCCCAACTCCTGATTGAGCCCGGTGCAAGGTTTTGGTACCAGGTGCGGACTACTCCCTTGAAAGTAGTGGAGAAGGCCACACACATGCAAGACTCACTCGCCCTGGCTAGATGCATCTGGGACTGGAAGGCATCGACGTGGTCGTTGGGGTCAAGGACCCATCGTACTTGTCCAGCGGGGGGAGCTTGAAGTCTCTTAGCATGGGGACAGCGAGGAGCTCCGGGGATAGAGGGGAGGGGACTGAAAGAAGTGGTGTAGCTTTTACCTCTTCCGAACTTATTTCTACTTTGCCTTTGAGCTCGGGCAGGCTGTGGGTGGCGGCAGTTCGGTGAGCTCGGCGACGTCTTCACTGCTTCTTGGCTGGCTCGGCTATCGGTAGCTGCGAACAAAGGGACCTTGTTCCAGGTCGTCGGCTAGCACTTCGAACCGGTTTTCCGCAAGCAGAGGTTCGAACTGCGAACGCTGAGGTGACGCCGACCTAATCGGCTGGGAAGCCCCCGACCTGACTACAGGCCGTGAGGCGGGGGTAGGGAGTCTTTCCTTCCTTCCATGAGACAATGCCGAGGTCTCTCCTCCGCGGGAAGGGAGTTCACTGCGGCAGTGAGGCTTAGTTGGCTGCGCAGCTGGGTGTCGGGGAGGGAGTGAAGGAAATTGTTGCTGATACTGATACTAGGACACTTGGTGCAACACTTACTACTGGTGGAACTGAAGTTGCTGGAACTGTTGCATTTGGGCCTGCATGGCTCACATGCACTGCATCAGGTCTTTGAACTGACCTTGGCTGGCCACCAGAGGGAGGATGGTGGGTTCTGCGAAGGTTTTTCCAATGGTAGAGGGTAATGGAATGGTCACGGGTGCCACCGTCAGGGGCACATTTAGACTAGGTACCCCGTCCATGGAGAGGGGGACGGTGAACTATCCCATGCAGACGGTGGGTAGCTGGAGTTGTTCCTCTAGGGTGTTTCGACGTTCGGAGTTGCTGGAGGAAGCCATGGTGATGATAAGTTCTTTGAGGGAAGTTTCACAGAAGTTAGAGGAAGGCCTTTTGAAGCGTTCCCACAGACGGCACCAAATGATGCTGCACAATCTAGGCACTCCTAGCTGGCCGAGAGTTGGCTCCTAACTATGACGGACGACACCTGAGAGGAGGAAGAAGGTGAAGGGTTCCCGGGGAGATCTCTCGTAGGGAACACTCCACTGGCTAAGTTAGAACTCTGAGGAAAACTCAAAGAAGATACAGAGAGTTAAGAGTGTTGAAAGTGCTAGCTTCAATACCTTTGCTTCGTGAGGGTTAGGGTTCTTTTATATCGAAGCTTGGTCATATCTGGCATCACCGCCACTTCCCTAGCTGTTACTGCCAGGGTAGGTGCGGCAGGTGCAGGTTGTTGCTACAGGTTGCTATTGCAAGGTACGGACTCGACAGGCGTGTCATGCTTTTCAGAGACGGCAAGCAGAACGTCGTCTGGCGAGCAGAACACCGTCTATTAAGGGATCCGAGCCCTGCCGCCGGATCAGGTAGGTACGGATGTCAGGAAGATCTCCCTGCAGCCTGCCGAGCTATTGTACGTCGGACCACCTGGGGCAGGTTTGCCTTGCACCGAGGTGCCGAGGTACGCCGAGGTGCCCGCACTGCAGGCGGGCCTTAAGCAAGTTCGAACATGAGTCTCGATGGTGCTGCCCCGAGGTGTTCCTCCCTCGGGACACTTAGCCAAAAATTGGGGTGCTCTCTTCTTAGGAAGGGAGAGCTCGGGTCTCAAGGGGAGCTCGTGCCCTAAGAGGAGTTCGGGATCTCCCACACTTGGTGGGAGTCAAGGTTGGCCAAGCGCTAATCCCTGGCGAGTCGCTTAACCCTCCGAGTGGCCAACGTTGGACTCGGCGGGGCCCTCTCCCTGAATTACGGTTGTGCTGTTCTGCTGAGCTGTTCGTCGAGCCAGGTCATGCACACATATCCCTGTGCTACAAGGTCGGACCAAATCACCCTCCACCCTCCATCACTATCATTATTCTGTCCACATGACCCCACATGTATGTATGCAGTTACAATAGATTGGCAAGCTTGTTGTGTTTGATTTTACCTCCATCCAATCCGAACTCTATTAGATAGCCCGATTTACATGATTGTGTTCACACATCATTGTTTGTGAGATAGTGTGTGTGAAGCCCATTTACCATACCATAAAGAATCTACAGTTTCGATTTCATGCTTCCCATTTTAGAGGGATGCCGTGCGAAGTAAACTATCTCAACAACTACTCGACAAACTTACCATTTCGATAGAAAATTTACCAGCACAATTAATGCAATTATACTCCGATCATAGGCTATGATCACTCAATATATATCCAATATCATGCGAGCATTCATTAGCTTCCACTCTGTCCCGTGGCTTTTACATCGTTACTATCAATTACCTGTTCCTGATTGTAAACATTTTACAGCGGAACGATAAAAAAACAGTTACCAATCATTTTATACATTTTCCTTGGATGATTAACATAATAATGAGAACCATCGATGGGGATCAGTATCTCGAGACATGGCCCACCTGGCGAGAAAGAAACAATACAGATGGTGGTTCCACGATTAAAATCATAATCAATCTTTTTATTACTGGCTCCTTCATCAAAAAGATAGAACCAACTCCAACCATCCGATCCGAATCCAAATAGACAATTTCCGAGGGGTATAAGTTCAAAATTCTCATTCATTAGGAGTCGATGATAGGGACATTTGATCCCAGTTCCAACTTCAAAAAGACAATACAAATATTGGAATGACCAAAATATCCTTGCATGTGTGTGAGTGAGCCGAGTGAGCGAGGGCCACCAGCCTATCAGCCAAACAAGTTAATTCCGAGAACAGAATGGGCTCTGTTGTTGAGATTTGTTCCATATGTGCAATGAGGTACGAGACTAGAATCGGACGGTTGTTGTTATCTAATAATGTTGACTTCCAGACCGTTGATCTATGTGATGGGACCGGCAGGCACCTGCCGGATGTATCACTCACTACACACACCCAGACAACAACAATAAAGAACAAAATAAGAAACTAGAGAGAGAAAGGGTATAGCTGGCCCACAACGTCACTTTGCTGCAATACATTGCTCTTTTTGCTTTAAAAACATCTTTCTCTCCAAAGAAAATCAGAGCTGAAGCAATTCCAGATCCTTCTCAGTTTCTGGAATCTCTGGTTTTGAATTTGTTTTACGTCGCTGGGGAACCAGTTTCGCGGTTCGAGATCTCCGCAGGTTCTAATCTATTCGCTTAAAAGCCCACTTTTGAACGTTGGAAAACCGGCGTTCCAACCTGTGCTTGCGGAGGATCCTGCGAAATGAGTTCAGGAGAGCTTCTCAGCATTGAGCCTCAGGAGCTCAAGTTCCCCTGTAAGTTCATGTTTCTTTTTCGGTTTTTTTTTTTTTTTTTTTTTTTTTTTTTTTTTTAAATAAAGCTTCCAAAGATTTCTTTGTATAGATCTGTTCATTATTTCTTCTTATTCTTTTTTTTAATCTCTAGGGTTTGGAGATTTTGATTGTTTGTGTTTTGTTTTTTCCGTTTTGAATAGTCGAACTGAAGAAGCAGATCTCATGTTCTCTTCAATTATCGAATAAGACGGATAACTATGTTGCTTTCAAGGTAATTTTTTTTCCATTTATTCATTTTGTTTTTTTTTTGGTATTTTCGAGAGAGAATCCACCGCCCGAAGCTAGGAAAAAGTTTAACCATATAAAATGTTTTTTCTTTGCATACTCTTATCTTAGTCTATTTATTTTCGTTTATTTTGGGAAGTAAGGCACCCTGGAAAATGTGTAAAACTATATAAGAAATTGGCAGATGTTGAACTTCTTGCATATATTGGATACTTGAATGTAGAGTTTCTGATTCTCAGGTGAAGACGACGAATCCAAAGAAGTATTGTGTTCGTCCAAACACCGGAATTGTTCTGCCTCGATCCACATGCGATGTTATAGGTCCCTCCCTCCCTCTCTCTCTCTCTCACACACACACACACACGCACGCACTATAATTTTTTGATTAATTGACGACTTATTTTTTAAATTTATTATTGTTGTTGATCAGTTACGATGCAAGCACAGCGGGAAGCTCCTCCTGACATGCAGTGCAAGGATAAGTTTCTCCTTCAGAGCGTATTTGCAAGTCCTGGAGCCACTGTAAAGGACATCAACCCAGAAACGGTAATAATCAATCTATGCAATCTTATTAATATTAGTTGGTATGAATCACCTAGCTTTTAATCTATGGAATCGGCTTTATTTAGTTCAACAAGGAGTCGGGAAATCACATTGAGGAGTGCAAGTTGAGAGTTGTTTATGTTTCTCCTCCTCAACCGCCATCACCAGTTCCAGAAGGGTCCGAGGAGGGTTCTTCACCAAGGGCTTCTATATCGGATAATGGAAATTTGAATGTTTCAGAATTTACTTCTGTGAGTAATTTTAAATATAATGTTTGCAACCGAAGGATAATGTTCTTTTATATTTGTTTTCCATTATGGAAACCATTGTTCCTTTTTACTGGGGGAGGATTTGGGGTTTGGCATGGTGTTCAACTAGGATTTTTAGAAGCAGATTGATGATATGCCTATTATAACTGTGGGTACAGGTCTCAAGAGCATATTCTGAGCCTCAAGAAAAGTCTTCAGAGGTAAGATTTATTGCTGGCAATTTTTAGATATCGAGTTTTCTCTGGTAAGAAGTTTTTAAAAGTGCAAATTCTCTCAATTGTGCTCATTTATTATTGTTTCTACTGGGTGAATTCAAATGGTTTGTCATCAGCTTTGAGTATACTTGTACTTAATTTGGATTTCAGTGTCTTTATTTGGTTTGATATAATGACATTTTAATTAATAAGATTGATGGAGTTTGAAATCTTATGGTTCCAAATTTAAACTTTAGAACATTCTTTGTCCGGTAGTAACTTATTCCATGAGGAACCTCTTAGTTGGGATTAATTTAGGGTACTCAACTATTTTGTTAGGAATTTCAAAATGGATTAGTCTTATATTTATTACATCATTGGAAGCATTTCTATTTTCAGTTGATAATTATCCTTCCTGCTAATTTTTGAAGACAATTTAATTGAATGGTTTATAGGTCAATGCTGGTCCAAGAAAAGAAAGGGAAAAAATGGTTTATAGGTAATAGGTAAATGTAAAATTTATGTGGTCCTTCCTGGATGGTGCACTTACTTTATTTGTAGATTGAAGCAAGCATTCTACGTTGATGGTGATAAGCATCCTAGTCTTTTGCTGGTGGGTTATCAAGAAGAAAGGGATTGGGGTTGGTATTTGATGGAATGGACATGGAGCCCTATGGAATTAGGATTGTGGTGTCATCCTCTTGTGAACAATCAAGCCTATCCTCATAAGTCATGAGTTAATCTCATTTTGATTGGTGGTTTATTGGGGATTCATATGATGCATTAGTCTTCATTGCCAGAATTATAGGCTTGTAGTCCCTTTAAAATCTAAGATAGAAGATTCCCATACAAAACCTGATATTCTTGATCTTATACCCCCATATCCATGATCATAAACAACACCATCCTACATCCACATCTGTAGAAACCCATACACCATCCACTTATCTAATTTTCCATCTAACCTGAACTACCTTTCAGTCTCTCTGCACAAATCAGAACCAAACTATTGATATAATAACACTCCAACTCCAAGACCCCTCATTATTTCTTTCAAATAACAATCCCTACTCCGAAATGGTTCTCCTTTTTCTACTTGAACATCTTCCTAGTGAATTCTTCACCATCCAAGTAAAACCCACAACTTGTTTTTCTGTTTACCTTTAAAAACTGTCATCCTCTGAATGTTCTTCAAAGACCTTCTGTAGCTATTTCGGGATGCCACTTGGTCTTATCCTAGTATCTTCATTAATGACCGGGTCTCCAAGATTGGAAATTTGTTGGATATCCACAGTTACCTCAACATCTCCTTTATCTAATAAAGAATCTGTGAATGATTCCTTAGAATTAGAAACAAAAACAGCTACTCCCTTTTGAAATGCACACCACCAAAACCTTCCATTACCAAACAATCAGCACTTCAATCAATTGTTGATTTTCCTCTTGGCCTTTATAGGAATGTGCAAAAGTGGACCAAAAGGACACATTAGCACTCCTGAAACCTTTCCTCTTATATACCTTTTTAAACTTGTTATTTAGGTCTTACTGGTATGAACCAAATGTTGATTCCTAACAAATCTAGCTCATCTCAAACTTTTATTGCAATCTTCCTCCAACATTGGGTCTTTAAATCTGCAAAATCAAACTTTTGTTAAAAATATATTCCAATCTATGGAAATGAAAATTATCTTTTGGTCGGCCTAAGTCATCCCCCAACCTTTTGACAATGATCTCAAAGAATCCATCCTTATTATCTACATCCACAGTACTACACAACTCAGAAGCAGTGGGTTGCAGTAAAAGGATCTCATTCTTCTACTTTGAAGTCCACTTATGAGGAACAGTCGGTTCTTCAGGTCCTTGAGAAATTGGGGGAGTATTTTGGGATGGAAATGGATCTATTGGTTATGGGAACTCCCTAACAGTATAAGTTTCTGCTTTATTTAAAGAGTTAAGGCTAGCCAAGCAGCTAAACTTAAGGCAGGGGAGGTTGAAGGTGATTCTTTGTTAGTGTTGGGGTGGTTAAAAAACAACACAGGGTAGATGGGTGAATAGACAAGAATTGAGAGAAGTCAGAAAACTTTCATATGGAGTTGGGGCTTCTTTCAAATGGGTTAAAATGCATGCAAATGGTTTGGCTGATATGTTAGTCTAGGGATCAATTGTATTGGGTGGTTTTGAAATTTGAATGATAGTTGAGGGTTGGGCCAGCTCTATGGAGCAAGTGGTTATATTTCTTCAATGAACCTCTTTTAGTTTAATACTATGTTGTATTATTGATAAAAATGAGGTTTAATTTGTAACCTGTGATGAGCTGATTGGGTTAATGATTCCACAGTTCAGCTGACTAGGTCATCAGGTTGTTGACTCAGTCAATGTTTTTTATAGACAAGCAGTTAAGGGATCCTGGAATCCTGGTGAGATGGTGGCTTGACCAGTCCAATTGGCTAGGTCAATGATGGGTTGAAAACATTGCTTGAAACTTCTGCAGCTTGTTTCATCAAAGCAGAAAAAAGTGCTCTACAAAACCTGTGACTATTTCTGACTCATCACTCAAGTCACTCAACCATTAAGTTCGTCCTATAATCACCCACCTCTACTATAGATGAAGGTGCCATCTCTTTGACAATTGTGCTATCCACGGAACTCCCTACCAAGGTTCAAAATATTGCAATGTATTGGTTTCTATGTATCAATACATATTGGTTTTGAGGATTGTTGATCTGCAGCACTAGTTGAATTGCCATATTGGACTGTATTGGCTGATGGGCATGCTGTTTGTGGATGTGACATTGTTTTAATTGATGAAACTAATGGATTAAATGCACAATTAAGATTATGGACAAATGCCTTAGAAATAAGAGGTTTAAAATAAGTAGGAATGAAATAGATTATATGACATGTAAATTTAGTAATAATAGGAGTGTAAATTGTAAATCAAGATACACTTAGGATTGGCGACCAAGAGATAACTCAATGTTTCCATTTCTGGTACCTTTGTTCAATAATTCCTAACAAGGGAGAGATTGAGGAGGATACCACCCAAAGAATTAGAACAGGATGAGCAAAATGGAGGAGTGCATATGGACTTTTATGTGATAGCCGAATTCCACTTAGATTAAAAGGAAATTTCTATAAAACAGTTGTAAGGCCAGCTGTGTTGGATGGAGCAGAGTGTTGGGCAGTCAAGAAACATGTCCAGAAAATGAATGTGGTGGAAGTTTGAATGCTAAGATGGATGAGGGGAAAACCTAGAAAGGATAGGATTAGGAATGAAGGTATCTATAGGAACCTAGGAGTAGCTCCTATAGGTGATGAAATGAGAGAGAGTAGACTAAGATGGTTTGGGCGGCCCATGCATAGAAGACCACCAACTATTTCTCAAAAAAAAAAAAAAAAAGATAGAAGACTACCAACTATGCTAGTTAGAAGAAGTGATTTGTTACACATTGAAGGGGCTAGAATAGCTCGGGGTAGACCAAAAAGGACATGGGTAGAAGTAGTAAGAAATGTAAGCACTAATAATTTAATAATGAATATGGCTTTAAATAGAATGGATTGGCGAAATAGGATTCATGTAGCCAACCCCATATAGCAGACTGGATCGGTTAATACATCATACATTATGTTTTTTAATATAGCCCCTCCACATTCGTTCTCATTAATTCCCCCTCCTCTCTCTCTCTCTCTCTCACACATTAACTCCTATATATAAGGCAACTTTTTAAATTCAAATTTGTCTTATTCATACTCTTTCTCATTAATTCCTATATTCATGCAGTAACTTCTAATTAACCCCAATATTTAAGGCAACCATTCAAATTCAAATAGCATTATTAAGGTAATATTGAAATTCAAAATTGACTTTTTGAGATATTCTGATATGTTTTTAAATTTTCCTAATAAGTAATTGCTATAACCTATATTTTTGCTATAAAAACAAGTAAGAAGGATTGGACCTTGTCATTGGTTTGAAAGACCAAAGGTCCACCACTACACCATACTCTAATTGCTAGACATGAGTGTAGTGGTGGATGTCTCTTAAAATTGTATATTTGTCAATAAGTGTTAAAATTGATTATTAAAATTTATATATTTACAAGTATTAAGATAGATTATATTGATTTCCTGAGGATTAAGGTATACACATACATATTTTTCTTCTACCATCATTTTTCAACAGTTACCAATTTAAAGTAATAAACCATTAAAGTATGTTTTTTTATGTATAAATAACTTATTTATAGTCATCTAAAGCTTATATTTTTATTGTTATTAATATATATTTTAGGATTTATTTAAGTTTCCTAGCATTTCCACACATATCTTAATTTTTTCATTGTATCCATGCGTACCCAAAGTGTATTGTGGATGTCTCTTAAAATTGTCTTTCCCATACTCTGTGTTTTCAATACTTTGAACCTTGTTCCCTATCAAATCTTGTATGGCTGACTTGACATCTATTGAATAAGAGGAATGGACAGAACTCATCCCTTTTCCTTCCATGTGTCCAAAACTGACATGAATGGTGACACCTGATTCTCTGAGATCTGAGAGCATTGCCCCCCATTGAATCTGTAGATCTTCCCCTGCTGGTCTTCTTTCCAAACTGTCATTATGCATCTCCCTGCTCTTATTCTTTTTTAAGAAAAGATAAAGTATAGAAATATATTACTATGAACAAAAAGAGTTCATGTATTCCTTGGATCAGAATCCAAACTGTCATCATGCATGCAATGCAAGGTGCCAACCAGCTGGATGGTAAGGTCTCCTGCTGGTCGTAGCGGAGACTTGGGATCGAATCCCGCCTGCACCTGGGTTGGGGGATGGGCTACCCCCCATTGTGTAGTCACAAGATAAAAAAAAAAAACTGTCATCATGCATCCTCCTGCTCTTAAAATGTTTCTTTTTTTTTTTTTTTTGAGAAAAGGTGAAGTTTAGAAATATATTACTATGAACAAAAAAAGCTCACGTACAACAAAAGGCTGAAGACAGATATTGCTTCAGTTCTTACAAACAAATGTTCAGAAGCAAAAAATTAACTGTATGATCTCCCTTTGAACAGCTTATTCATGGCTGCCCAGGATCAAGGCATCCAAATAATTTTCTTAACCACCATGACGTACTTTCTTAACCATCTTCCAAATTAACTTGCCCCTCCTACTCAGGCCTCCCCATCTGTCATGCTTCTAGAAATTCTCTTGTTGATGGGAAGCATGTCTGTATTCCAAATAGTGCCAAGACCTTTGCCCACACCTCAGCAGCAAAACCATTGTTAAGGAAGAGGTGATCTACAGTCTGTACAGCTATCACAGAAACTGTGGTTTGGGCTGTTCACTACCATCCTTCCTTTTGTTAGGTTGTCTGTTGCAAGGCACTTATTTTGCACTTCCCACAACAGAAACGATGGCTTTCGATGGAACCAATGGGCACCATCCTTAATAAGCAAAACTGCCATTACCTTGCTGTGACAAAATCCTTCAGAATGACTTCACCAAGAAGATCTTTGAATCATCCCACACTCAAATTCTTTTGAGATCGGCTTCCATCAGGGAAAACCCGTGCCCACACTGTTCTAACAGCCTTTTGCAACCTTGCATTGGGAATATCTCCCCATGAAATAAAGCACATAAGTACGGAGATATTCTCAATGCAAGGCAATAAAGGCTGCTCAAATGGGCTTTGCCCTGGCCGAAGCCGAACTCAATTCTTTTATCCTGTTAATGCCTTTACATTTTGTGGTCTGAAACAGCTCCATGACTGAATCCACCCTAGGGGTGGCAAATGGTGGGTTGGGTGCGGGTTGAATACCAACATCCATTAATGACCCACTACTGGCTCATCACAAATGCTTGTTATTGGGTCACAACCCACCTTGACCCTCACCCACCCTTACCCACCCATATTGACCCACTTATTCACCATTACACCCCAAACTTTTAAGATTACCAAAATGCCCTTAGTTCCTATCTATCTGAGTTTCGATTAAATCTAATAAGGGAAGATTACTGTTGTTCATCTTCTTCTCCATTTCGGTGATTGAACCAGATAATTGGATACTCTGAATTCCCCTCTCTAATCCTCTCTCTCTCTCTCTCTCTCTCTCCTCCTCTACCCTTGTGCCGTTGTCAAACTCTGTTCACCATTTATCAACAAAATCCAGAGGTGCCACTGATTAGTTTCCAAAAGACCGAAGGCTCAAGGCTATGGAACAATTAATAACATAGTTGGATGCAAGCAGCAATAACATACTTGGAGCTGCAGGTGAGGGATTCAACAGTAGGAACAGGTGAGGTCAACTGAATGAAATCAGGATAGCCCATTCCAGAAATCCGGTCAACTGAGCAAAACCATAAATGGTTTCATTCAGGGAAGGATTAACTGAAAGAAAATGTAATTGCCAAACGAGGCAGAAACCATAGAAAATGGAATTTGAGGCTCACCAACTTCAGATTCCGGTGTTGTATGGTGACACTGAGCTCTAAAAGTCTAAAACTCTGATCAAAGCTTCAAGTGAAAACTTGCTTTTATATATATATTTTTTCTGAACCAGAGTTGCAGGATTAGGGAGCCAGCGACAACAGCCAAGCGAGCGGACGAGGGAGGGAGGGAAGGAGAATCTCTAATAAAAGATCAGGGAGGCATGTGACACCCTCCTTGTGGGCAAATTCAAATCTCAAGCCTTTAGTGGATTATAGAAATAAATCCAACTAAGCAACATCTTACATTTAGTTAATGGTGGAAAAGAGAATAATTGGTGAGGTATTATTCTCTCCATAAATGGCAAATTGCCAACATTCTCCTCTCTACAAAAGGTAACTAGATAAAATCAAATCTCTAATCAACTAAGGCACATCTCACTTTTAGTCAATTATTGACAAGAGAATAATTGATGAAATATTATTATCCCCATAAATGGCAATTTGCCAACACCTTATTCTCTAGTAAGGGCAACAAGAGTCAATTAAATCTCCAATCAAGAGTGTGCAAAGACTGGACCTTACAAACTATAAATACATGCTCCCAATCCCATCAAGAGCAGGGAGGGGGGACTTTTGGTTAGAAGACTCGGGGAAGAAAGAATGTTTTTGGGACAAAGAGAAGTACAAACAACACCATATCAAGAAATCTACAATGCTCTTGGAGTTTTACAAGGTTTTTCTTTTGACCAAGCTTTCTAAGCCCAATTGAAAGAAGCCAGCTCCATCATTCTTTGAAGTACAAGAAAACATCATTCGACCGTTGACTTCAATCCATAATACAGATCCTTAAGTTTCAAGAAGCACACCATTAAGTTTCAAGAAGCACATCACTCTTTTGTAATAGAGTGCAAAAATAAGGAGTTTGTATCCCATTTATTTTGAATATAAAAATTCAATTTATTTGAATTTACCTCACATTTTCTTGTGTTTGGTTTTAAACATGAAATTTGTGTCTATAACTTCCTCCACCTCTTTTGTAAAAAAATGCTTCTAAACACTCTGCTTGTTCCCTTGACAGATTCTTGAACTGCAATCCCATACAGTAATGGATGGTTTCTTCTTTGATTTTGCCTTCTCCTCAACCAACTCATTCTTTATTAGTAGGCTTTTTACCATATTCTCTATTCTCCTTGCGTTTGCAGCCTTGTGGAAAAAATGTGTTTTTGTCCCTTGCATTTAGCCATATTGATCTCAATCTTTGATGCCACTTCACTTCTTGGTATGCCAACTTGTCAGATTAACTTGTCTATTTTTGTAGGCACTCCCAAAGTACTTTCTTGCTTCCCCTACTAGTCTTTGTTGCTAAACTTGCCCTCTCATTTAATTCCCATACCAATTGGAATAATTCCTTTTCCGTCCTCCCTTTTTTCCTTTCTCTGCTATTGCCTTTTGTTCAATGGCCATTAGCAAACTAATGGTTTTTGCCTCCATACCTTTTGTGGACACCCCTGAAAACTCTCCCATTAAGTAGCTTCAATAACACCCAAGGTGAAGCCTCTTCTATCCTTTGCTTACCTGCTTGCACAATTACCAATGCTTGCTTGTCTCTCCCTCCCTGTTGTGTGTAAGGTCCCATCATCTCAAATGCTTTTCATCTTCCCATTGGCAGAGGAGGCGAGAAACTTGGGAGGGTACAATGGTGAGAATTCAGAGATTTCTACACAAGCAACAATTTCTCCGATGGAGGTCCATCTAAGTAATTTAACAATGGATATGGCTCTAAAAGAATGGAATGGTGAAATGCGATTCATGTAGCTGACCCCAAGGTTCAAAGTATTGAGAGTATTGATACTTTGAACCATGCCTGGCCCTATATATTGATTGGGATAAGGCTTAGATGATGATGACGTAACATCTTTGGTCACGTAAGGCTATGGGTATCCTACACAAACCAACTATGTGGGGTTCGCTATAGTTCTTGATGTAGAGTCTAAATTTATTGAAGTGTGGTGATGGTGTTGACATAGGAATCCATCTTTGAGAATGTTTTTTGAAGGAGCCCAGAATTGTTCCTGTTAGTATCATTGGTATGATAACCTTGGTTTGGCAGGAAGAAAGTCATCACATCAAGTCCATCAACCACACATGGCTATCGTTCTGTGGCATCATTATCCTTTATTTTCAGAAAGTAGTTAATATCCAGGACTACTTTGGTATGAATGCTGGTTGACATGCTACAGTTACAATCCATATAGGGATGTGAAGTTACCTTTGGCCTTCTGGTTCACACAAGAATGGAAACTTTTCATTCTTATCTTCAATTGCACTGAAGTTAATTTTTCACCATGTTTTTATGCTTAGGATATTTTCATTGAATTCTGATTGTGTTCTGTTTGCAGTAGGTAGGTAAAGCATTCTCTGTTTCTTGAACACTAAACTAGTTTGTGCACTTTGGTGATGGAAACTGCAGCTATCTTCCATTAAATAATTTTTCCTGCAGTTCTTACTACATCGAATGCTCATTATAGTTACTTTGTGCTTACACATCCCTGTCAATATTTTGAATCCTGATGCTACTTATTTAAATATTTGCTTTATAGAGATTATGGACAAGAACATTTTTGGAGCAGCATGTTTCTTTTCTACATCTTGGGGAAAATTTACTTTGCATATTGACTAATCAAAAACAAAGAAGAAAATAGAAAAAAGAATTACTTTGTGTATTTCAAGTAGCACATGCTAGTCAAATTCAAATAATACTGGATGTATTTTCAGGCAAAGGCTATTATTTCAAAGCTTACTGAGGAGAAAAGTTTTGCCATTCAACAGAGCAACAAACTTCGTCAGGAACTGGTATGTAAATTTCATCTTTTAAGTTTCTGAATTTTTTCTAATGAGCTCCAGATTAGATCATAGGGTGTTCTTCATGTGCAACTTTCTATTTAGAATACATTAGACTACGTAGATGGTTAGAATCCTTTTAGTTCTGCTACCCAACTTATATTTTATTGGTTAGCTTATCTAGTCCTACATAGTACTGGTGCTATGGTAAAGCTTATGCAGATATGTAATAATGTACTTTGCAGTGCAGAACGCAATTTTGTATATTTACTTATTTATTTTTTGATCAGTATGTATATTTATTTATTATTAACATGCATTAGTTTTATGTATCCATATATACTTGCAGACATGCAAACCATATAGGAAGTTGGTAAAGATGGATAGGTTGATAATTTGTGTGGTATAATATACGTATCTTTTTATTTGATTAGAAGGAATGGCTTATCATCATTCTTTGGCTTGGTTGTGCAGGAACTATTGAGGCGTGAAGCCAACAAAAGCCATGGTGGTGTTTCATTTCTTTTTATCGTGATTGTTGGCTTGCTGGGCATCCTCCTGGGATATCTTTTGAAGAGAACATGATCAATGAACGTGATTTCTACTTTGGCAGTAATTTTGCCCCATTTTATTTTAAATCTTTTCCACCATAAAAGAACGGAAAAGAGGAGTATATTAGTATATGACAGGTGGTATTTTTCTAGTTGTATTGTCAGTCTGGAATTAGAAAACGTATCCTGGTGGGGTTGATTGGTTTGTAATTGTTTAAAGCAGGAATTCCCAAAAAGTAGTGTGACACCGACTCCTGCTTTGGTTAACAGGCTTTCTTTTGGCAACTCAAAGAGGCATTTTCTTTTCTTCTACATTTTTGGGTATCTTTTTACTTTTTAGTTCTTATTTCTTACCTAAAAATATAGTTCTTACTTTTCATTCTTGTGAGATTTAGGAATAAAAATTCATCGTGTAAAACAGTAAAAGATGCATTTTCCATCAATGCTGTTCCGACTAGCACTTGGTACATACAATTCATTGAGATAACCAGGAATTACAAAGAAGATGAATGCCTGTCTGGATTTTGGCCGAAGTTCAGTGTTTACCAACGATTCAGGCTGCTGGCTGGTGAAAACAATTGGGCATTGCTGTGAGACTTATTCAATGCGGTGGGTGTCTTTATAGAGTTCAGTCAAAGAAATCCACGGAATCCCCTGAAGGGGCAAGATGGGCTATGTTATGTCAGGGCTTTGCCAATAATGTCTTTTAGCCTCAGATTAGCAAGTAGTGGAGTGGCGGACGATTCCATAGTTCCATATGCCTACTAAAAGTTGTAATGCATCTATATCCAGTTCACTAACTTTCAAATAATAGAAGCAGAAGCGTGAGCATAGAAATGGGCCCTGGAGCTCTGGACTGGCTTCATCAGATGAACTATTATTAGCGTCTGCATTGAATTGCGACAAGGATAGACAAGCAAGCTCTTTCGCATTTGTGACATCAACAGACCCCACGAATCTTTGCCTTGATGTTAGTATTCTTGTTAAGAAAATTCCCTACAACTAGGTTTTCTTATCATCTATCACTATAAACTCTGCCAGTCTCATATTGAGAAGTTGGGAGTCGAATAACATGTTTTGAACCATTGTTAAGATCTTTATCTTATGCATTTGCATTCATTGTAGTTGTAGCATTCAGCAAACTGGCTCTCTAAATGCTCTGGACGCCTCAATTAAGTTTGTAAATATTGAATAAATAAAAACTAAAGAGTAAAAAACATGAAACTTCCAAGAAATGATGTGGATATACATATATATATTTTTTAAATCTCACTGCCTCAGACCTGGTAAGTGGTAAATGCTACTCTAATTTTCCTTAAATTATTTTTATTTTGTTGGGATTCAAATGCTTATTTTATGTCAAATCAAGTGACAGCTATCTGGGCAGAACCTGCCAGATGATCATGGAGAGAGTATGGTGATGCTAGCATCATTGATTCATGATTAGTTGATTACCCATTTTTGGCTGCTGTAACTGGTGGTTTTAGATAATTTTATCTGAAGATCGTGTCTGATCCCTTGCCCATACAATGAGGGGTATTTGGCTGAAGATTGATTGGGTTTGCCACAGCATAAGATATTAAAAGAATGGAATGCCATCTCAGCTTCCACATGTCAAGATTGTACATAAGCAGACTCGAATTCTCCAAACTTGTCTTTCTCAAAAGGCAGAACTCACCTAAGGCCTAATTTTCCCTACAATCTTTTTAAAGTTGACAGCCAAAAACTCAACTAGAATTCCTGGAATTCCTTTTTGTTTGGAAAACAGAACTCGACTAATGTGTTTGATCAGTCTACTGATAATCTTTTTCGTTTTGATTTACATTGCTAACTCCTTTTCCTGATCCACATCTCTGAAACAGAATAGTGGCTATATTCACTACTCCCCTAAGGCCCTAACCCTTTCTTCCACAAGAACAAAGCACGACTATTAGTCAGCTCTCTCAATCCCCGAGGCTGAAATAAATTAAACTAAACATACAGTCATCGAGTAGAGGAGATAAGACTAAGAGATCCTTATTAATTTACCCCGTTTCACTACGAATTTTCATCATTTTTTTTGAGGGGTGAACAGAGAAATTATGGATTCGTTGAGACTTGAGAGTTCTAACCACTATTATTACTGTTACGGCGACCATTACCGACGACGACCCTTCTTCTGTGCTTCAGCTGAGAGAGCTCGATCTGGGTCTTCATGAAGAACCGCAACCTCTGCAACTCCAACTCCCTCGTCAACTCCATTCTCTGCTTCTCCATCTCCATCACCTGCTCCAGTTTCGACTTTTCCACTTTCTCATACACCTCCCCAAACTTCAAAATCGCCCGACTCAACTCCTTCATCGAAGAAGACTCGGACTTGCCTCCCCAGCCACTTCGAATTGGTTCCTTCTTGAATCTCCATCTTTTCCCATTAACGTTATTCGTCGCAGGGGGAAGACCGTCCGTCGAATCACCCGAGTTGGTCGACTCGCGCTGCTTCACCTGAGGCTGCCGCAACGACCTGAAGTTCCTAAAGGCGGCGGCGGCGGAGGACTTCGGGGTGGGTCCAGATGGGGTATGGTTGTCTAGATCTTCGTTCTTTCTCGACGAGGGGCCGATGAGCTGATCAATGCGGTCAAAGAAAGACCACTTGGTGGAGATCCCAGATGCGATCTTGGCCAGTTCGATCTTATACTTCTTCTTTAATGTATCGATTCGGTTCTTGCACTGGATATCGGTTTTGGGTACCTTTGTGTAGTCTTCGCGGCTGGTCACAACGTCGGCCACCTCTTGCCAGTGTTTCTGTTTCAGGTTGCCCCGGTTGAGCTCGATGTATCGTTCACCCCACGCATCGATTAGCGTCGATGTGGCCCCTTCACTCCAACAATCTTCGCGGCCGTGACTGGCGCCTCCTCCCGTGGTGGTGTTGGCCGTTCGGGGTTGTTGTATTGGCAGGGCTAGGGTTAGACTTTGACGCGACGGTGGCGGTGGCGCCGCTACGGTCACTGGTTGGGACGGTCCCGTTTGGTGGTCTGACGATGCTGGCGATGTTGGATGGGATTCTATCTCTTCTTCGTCTTCCATCGACATTGACGGACGCTCCGAGACCGAGAGAGAGAGAGAGATTAGGGTGAAGTTTGCCGACCGGTGAGGGGTTTTATGTCTATTTCCTTTTCGATGAACAAGAGAGGACTTGGGATCGCTAACGGTTGAGATTTAAAGGAGGAGGACACGTGTAGGGCGATAGACTGTGAGGGTTACTGGATTTTGATCGGTTTTATATAAACCCTTACCGGGATGGAAGGGGCCGCCTACCGGCGCGTAATGTGGGTGTTGACGGCCTGTGGGGCTCAGTAGCCGGCGTGATGTGCGTGTTTCCGATTTTTACGCGGTTTTTTCTGGTCCGTCAGAGTTGGACCGGCTTCTCGCCTGTCTACTCGGTTCGAGAAATATTAAAGGGTAAATATTGATAAAACCAAATGTACTTTCTTACTAGGCCTGTATGGAATTCGAATTTGATTAAATATCTTCGGATATATAAAAACAATAACTAAATTTGAAATTGATTAAAATATCAAATATTCAGTTCGATTCGAATTCGATCAATTATTTTTCACTTTCCTTGTAAATCCTAAGAAAGCTAGATGCATTTTCACTTTCCTTGTAAACCCTAACAAAGCTAGATGCATTAAGATTAAGAAAAGAGGAGGAAGAGCATGTCTTTTAAAAATAAAACTAATAAAATAGAAACGCCAATGACAAGACATTGAACAAAAAAGAAGAAAACAGAGTAAACTAGAAAAAACCTAAAATAGAGTGAACAAAGGCGCTAACATAGATCATTTGTTGTTCTTCAAAATATGGACGCATCACTTTAATATATATTAAATTTATATAATAATCAAATTTTAATCGGATCAACACAAATTCGAATTCGACCGTTAAATTTATCAAACCATTCGAATTCGATTCAATTATATTAGATATCGAATTCGGAATCGGATAATCAGTTACCATTTACACCTCTATTTCTTAGAGATGAAGTTGTGGTTCAGTACCCTACTTTTTGTGAGTTTGCATCAACGCCCCACACAACATGCCCACTCACACCCAGCTACACATTTCAACCGTGTATTGGGAACATCTTCCCAATGACAAGTATGAGAGATGTTTCCTATGGGGCACTGCTGTGAATTCACTTTATGTTAATGGCATTATTTTCTCTTGATTTTTTAAATGTTAAGATTGCCCTTATTACGCCAGGCAAAATCTGTACTATATATAAAAGTGTGAATATAGTGTGAAAGTTTTTTTTTGGATTAAAATTACCCTCTATTTCTTTGCTTTAGAAAGTTTATAAAAGTCCTTTTATGTTAGCTTTAATGGCTATTAAAATGCCCATATTTGTGTATTTAATCCATCTCTAATTGTAAGGGTTGAAAATGTAACTTCAATTATTACTTTTCACTTCATTTAATCTCCACTAATTAAGTCTTATATTTAAGGTATTAAATCCCATTTTCTCTTATTAAATCCTATATTTTTAAGTTATTTTTCACTAAGAAATGCTACTAATTAGATATCTATGTCAATATTTTTGATAGTACAAATCCATATATTTTAAAATTGACTCAAAAATAAAACCATTCCTTATCCAAGTGATGGTTAAGGAATTCAACCATCCGAATTAAATTGATCAATCTACGAAGCCATAGTTAGGTAATAAAAATTTTAAAATAGAAATAAATATAGAAAGTCACAAAAATTATAGAAAAAGTAGACACATTTTTGTAATTAAATTAAAAAAAAGTGTAATAAATAACAATTATTTTTATTGATAATAAAAATGAAATACATAATTTAGAACTAGCAAAAAATGAAATATAAAAATTAATAATAAATAGTTCAACTTTTGGGTTAAATGTATTAAACTTTAACGTCATAAATAAATAATAAAAATTAATAAAATATAAAAATACAAAATAAAAAAAATGCATACATCGTGCAAAAAAAGAAAAAAGCATTCAGACACAAGTATAAATATCATATATTTATCTTATTAAACAAAAAGTAAGTGTAAAATATTAGAGTTAGTTTTACACACAAAAGTAAAAAAAAAAAAAAACTATAGTAAAAATTGAGTACATCTATAATTCTATATTTACACTACTACTAAAAATATGAACAAGATTGTGGAATCTTCTTTTGACTAAAATACTCATTTTTGAATTTAGTCCCTATTTAATTGTGAGGTTTAAATTATAAATTGAACTACTACTTTTCACCACATTCAATTCACTCTATTTTAAATCTTACATTTTTTTTGAAAAATAAAAAAAAAAGATACACCAAAAAAATAAAACATTACAAAAATGAAGAATCTAGCCAAATAGTAGGGGTGCAAATTAATCAGATCATGATCTGATTCGATCATTTTTGTCGAATTTGGATCACTCTCCATATATATATATATTATTTATATTGCATTTTTTGTAAGTTTGTTATATTATTTATTTTTTATAAAAAATGTATATATATATATATATGTTGAAAATAGTTGAAAAGATACATGTGTTTTTTGTTTTCTTTATTTAAATTGTTATATTTTAATTTTATTTTTTAAATTAAATTAGAATGGATCAGATCCAAATATTTGACTTCCTCATCGGATTCATATTCAAATCCATGTTTATGAGATGCGATCGTTTGTTAATAATATTGGATCAGATTTGGATATACCCTAATTCAAGTTTGAACCAATCAGTTTGCATCCCTACCAAGCAGGTAGGCTTGTAGGAATGGCAATGGGGCAGGTTTGAGGCGGGGATTACATTCCCCATCCCTGACCCCGACTCCTAAATCATCCCCCACCCCATCCCTGGTCCCTGTCGGGGAAAGGAATTCTCCTCAATCCCCGACCCTGACGGGGATGAATTCTCCATTGGAGACCCGAATCCCCAACTACACGAAAGCCAATAGCCACCGACTGAACCTGAAATGGTTGTTTGCAGAACCCCATAATACACAACCAACTATCCTAGGCATCAAAAATAGAATTGAATAATAAAAGACAAAAGATGTTAAGAAAATTTGGATGTGTATTTGTAATCTGTTTGAGATTTCAAAAATAAGAAATCAAAAGCACAACACAAAAAACCAGAAATCGAAAAGTAGAGAGACTGAGAGAGAGAGGGGGGGGGGGAGAGAGAGAGAGAGAGAGACAGGACCATTGTGAGTTGCGGGCCTGTAGCGTTGATAGACGGAGAAGGAAGCCGAAGAACTAGGGTTTTGAGTACCAACGTCCAACGGGCGACGGTGATAGTGATGGCGTTTGGTGATGATAGACGAAGGAAGAACTGGGGTTTACCTCTATAGTCTATTCTTTCTCTTTGAGTCTTTCTCTGTCCTCTATCGAGTCACTCGAGTGGTAGTCTAGAAGAGAAGAGAGTCAAGAGACTCTCGACTCTCAAGAGTTTTTTAGTTTTTGTCTTTTAATTAATTATTAGTTGAATTTGTTAATTGTTATAATGTTATTTGTTAATCAAATAAATGAATAATATATAATATAATAATATTATAATGTAAATATTATATATATATATATTAATTGGGGTTGGGGCGGATAACAAGGAGAGAATCACCTTCGATACATATGGGATTAGTCCTGAAATTAAGAGAAAAATTGTGGACTTCCCAAGCTGCCCAAACTTCAATGACATTAATAGAGGCCTTACCAATAGAAAAGACTTTAGCATAAAGAACATTGTCATAATGGTCCTTGGTAACAGAGGCAATAGCACAAAACCCATCATCCATTTTGGAAGCATCACAATTAACTTTGATAGAGTCAACATTAGGAAACTTCCACGATTTTACAGGAATTGCACTACTAACTTGCCATAATTTGGGAGGAATCTGTTACGATCCATTTGTCCCATATTGGTAGTATGGGATGCTAATTTGAGGTATCCCACATCAGTAGAATGGGATGCTGTTGTGGGGTATATATGTGCTTGGGCTCCCTCCCTCTAACAACTAGCTTTTAGGGGTGAGTTCTCCTAAGCCATGTAACAAATGGTATCAGAGCTTACACTATGCCTCGCAGTTGCAATCATGCGGCGCAGGTGGTGACATCGGTATTGCAGTGTTCGGCTGGGATTAGGTGGACTAGTGCAAAGCCAGCTTGCGTGGGCGTTGGGACTATGGAAGTATGGTGGGATGTTACGATCCATTTGTCCCATATTGATAGTATGGGATGCTAATGTGAGGTATCCCACATCAGTAGAATGGGATGATGTTGTGGGGTATATATGTGCTTGGGTTCCCTCCCTCTAACAACTAGCTTTTAGGGGTGAGTTCTCCTAAGTCACGTGACAGAATCCTTATATAGGACTTAGAGCTCTTTCAATGATCCTAAGAGGGGGTAAGCATTTATCATTGAATGTTTTATCATTTCTATTTTGCAAAAGGAACCAAAGAATGAGGCATTATTTCTCATAAGAAAAATATTCCTCCGTAGCCGTTCCTCTCTATAGATTTTTCCACCTTTCCAAAAAAGAAACAACACTATAATTCAGATCAATAATGCTCCATACATGGTTTGCTATGGAGCATTTTATAAAGATGTGGTCAATATCCTCAAGTTCACCACAAAATCTGCATGTCCCATTTATGTTGAAACCTCTAGAAGTGAGAAAAGCTTTAGATGGAAGTCGAGCATTGAGAAGGAGAAAAAGAAAAGTTTTGATCTTTGGGGGGATCTTGAGACCCCCAATTCTGCTTAACACCATATTTGTTCCCCCCATCTCTCTATGCATAACACTATCTTCTTTGTTGGCAGACTTGATAGTGAAATTTCCTTTAGGATCAAACCTCCAAACAATATTATCCTCACAGGAACTAGAAGGAAGAAAGATGGACTTAATATTGTTGCAAACATGGTTCAGCACAAGGTTTCTAACCAAGTCTTCTTTCCAAATTTTTCTATCATGATCAATTACATCCGAAACAAGAAGGCCATTTTCATCTATGGTGAGATCTCTACTCATGAAATCCATTATTGGCTCCTAATCAATCCAATTATCTTTCTAGAAGCTGACCTTTCTACCATTTCCAATTCTTCAAACAACCCCTCGATCTCTTGATGAAGGGTCTAGAATTAAGAATGCTTTTCCAAGCCTAAGATATTCCAGTTTTTGGGTTAGCATGCAAAAATGTTCCTTTCTCAGGTATTTGTGGGTCACAATTTTTACCCAAAGGTATTGCTTATCCTTCAAAAATTTCCACCCTATAAAAACTTGTCAAACAACACAATAGTCATTGATAACGGCCTGCTGCTGAAAACTAGCAAGAACTAAATAAAGTGTAATTGTACATTCTTTGTATATCTGTATTATATTTCTACTTTTCCTTTAATAGGACCGATGATGCTCCC